CCAGGAGGATCCACGAAAGGGGAAGTACAGTTCCTTATCAAGAAGATTCTGTCTTACTTTCATCTGCAGCCACGACGCAAATCACCGCCACAAAAACGAGCACAGTACGGAAACGGAACATCTCTCTGGAAATATTGGAACTTTAACAAGCCGTTATCATTAACAGATTATCAATCCTATCATTCGGATCGCCTAGCCGTCGCAGGGCGTCACTACTTTACGTGAGACGACCAGGCTCCGAAAGGCGCTCATATTTTGAGCGAGCTAGAGTGCGAAATATTTTCAAAGTTCATCGAGCAAATGGTAAACAATACCTAGGAAGGGAAGTTATTCTTTTTGAATCACTCATCAATTACTCATTTCGAATCCCTCTCGCTACATCTCGCTTGCAACCGTGACGTTCTCGAGAAGGCTACACCAGTGAATTGTAGCAATTATAGTGACAGGAGCTTGCTAAGGGTGCATGCATAGGATTTCATGAGGGAAGGAGAAATTCTTCTGCGTTTTGGTTCGCCCACACTGAGCAGCTTCTAGAGAGCGTGTTGACCCACACTTACCATCAAGCTAAAACTGAGCTTTTAGGGATGGTTCACAAATTAACGACTGTTCTTGGTATCTCGTCAAGACAAGAACTGTTCAAAAAAGCAGAATTTGATGCGGACCACTTGTACGTGGACTGGCCAGACCAACACTGAACCTGCGTTTATAACTTAGGAGAGTGGTTACGCTGCGTGAAATTATATTAGGTTGTCCGGAAAGTTCTCAGCGTTTTGGGTGTTTCACTTTAAACGATCGTAACTTTTTTAATACTCATCGGATTTAATCGAAATAGGCACCATTCGAATCAGCACACTTTTGCCAATGTGACAGCAGTCGAGAAATCCCATCAAAGAAAAAACTGGGTGGTCGAGAATCCACGAAATCTACGAAGGTCTTTTTTGCCTGGTCCTGATTGATGAAGTATTTTTCAGCAAGGAAGTTCTGAAAATGTCTGAAAAGGTGACAGTCGGTTGGTGAAAGGTCTGGAGAATATGGTGGGTGAGGTAGAACTTCAACCCCAATTCGTTCAATTTATGGATAGTGATTTGTGAAACGTGTGGGCGGGCGTTGTCATGCAAAAGAATCGGACCCTTTCTTTTGATAAGTGTTGGCTGCAGCTGACAATATTTTCGGAACATTTGGTCGGTTTGTTCACAGTAGGGTTCTGCTGTGATGGTTTGGCCTGGCGATAAAAAGTTATAGTGGATTACAACAGCCGATGACCACCAAACCTGACCAGAATTTTTTTTCGTGAGGGTTCGGCTTTGAAAATTACCTCGGTGGTTCCTCCAAATCCAACCACTGTCCGGAACGTCTCCTGTTATCATACATGATCCATTTTTCATCACAGGTGACAAATCCGTTCAAAAACGGGTCAATTCTTTTGCGCAAAAGCAGCGAAGAAGGAACCTCGAGACGTGCCGATTCCTGCCGGTCACTCCGATTGTGGGGCACCTAATTGTCGGGTTTTTTCACCTTCCCAATGCGTTTCAAACAATCTACAACACTGGATTTGCCAACGCCTAGCTTTTCTGCAATCTCTCGAACTGTTTGGGATGGGTCAGCCTTCAAAATCTCCTCAAAATCCTCGTCAGATATTGCTTTAGGTCGACTGCCATGAGGTTCATCTTCAATGCTGAAATCTCCTGAACGAACTTTGTTGAGCCATTGCAGCACAGTGCTTTCTCAAGCACTATTGGGCCCCCACACCTGGTTAATTTGCTGAGCTGTTTCGGTTGCGGATTGCCCCAATTTATAGTCGAAGAAAAAAATCGTCCGAAGTGCTCTTTTCACATGTTTGAAAAAATCTTGAAAAAAGGGAGTTCAATAAGCAATGGTGAAACGGCAATTATACCATCAGATAGCGCAAGAAATTCTCTACAGGATGTGCTACTGAGAAGCAAGGCAGAAAGAGTTTTTAAACAGCAGTGTGAATGTACCAAAAATAAGTGCACAAAACGCTAAGAAACTTTCCGGACAAGCCTCAATAACATGTATGATCCTGCGACAATCGGCGTCGTCACGTGGAGAAGATTGCAGGGTATGACTTGCAAGCCTAAGCTTTGTAAACCACTGCCACAAGTGGCACGACAAGAAATACAGATGAATAACTCACCTTTTGAAGAAACGTCTGATTTCGCAATAGAAGTATTCTCACCACGGGGTATCTTTTATCTAGGAGAGCACCTCTTATCATGCGTTCATCATTACTACAATCATCTCTGGCCTCCTAGATAAGATAACCGGGCATGATAGCGGCCAAGTTTCCACAAGAATATTCAACTCAAATATAACCCAAAGCTAATGAACACCCCCCATGTTAATCATGTTGGTGCTCTTGATAGTCATCTCAAAGATGCCTGATAGGGTACAGGTGAAGGCCTTTACCCGGTAATTTTGTCATCCTGATGTTGACCTTGGTTGCAGGAACATGGAATTCTATTACGTACTTTTGTGATTGTTTCTAGTCTTTTTACTGATTTGAAAACAGTTCTTCCAGACATACTTTATTTACACCCACTGTTTCGGTACACAAGCCAAGGAAAACCAAAAGAAGTTTGATAGGCGGATTCCGATTTTTTTATTCCGCCCGTCACAAGTATTTATCGCCCGTAGTTTGCTGAATTGGAAATCTATGGTAGCCACCCTTGGGTTCTGGAGCACCCTTCTGATAAAGGCAGGGATAAATCACCAGTTGAATTTTGCGTGAGAGGGATCTACTAGGACAACAAAAGTGTTCGATTAGAAATTTGTGAAGTACGTTTTTTCACGTTTTATATTTGCAGACGTTGCTTACCACATTGCATGCTGTCAACTGGCGTTAAAACAACAACTCATACGAAGCATCAAGAAAGCTCGGACTACTTTCAGGTTTGTCCTCTAGTTTAAAGTTTTTCCTAAGAGTCATGTCGAAATTCTTCAGTCGCGAAACACGTCGTCCGCTGAGCGGTTCAAGTCAGTCTGACGGTGGCTACGGTAGTGATCCGGTGAAAGACAGAAAAAGCTCTTGAATACTCGAGTGAAGTGGTTCATAGGTTATCAGTAGTGACTGAGGTTTCGATTGCGAGGCTCGTTTATTTAAATTAATCGACGATATGATGGGGAATATCAGCGAATCAGGAAATGAAGGCACCTCCATAGTATTCTAATTTTCATGACGTTTTCTTCAACATTCTAAGTAGGGAGGGGAGAGAGGGTTAATGTGGTTGCTTCAAAGTCATTAGGCTTCATCTTTACGTTATATCTATATTAATTCGATCGATCAACTTTTTAATCTAAGAATTATGTACTTGTTCCTTTTTCTCTTGTAAGAAACCGTCAGCTTCTGTTCGGGTACCTCCATACATACTCAGCCTTGTCTATTTGTTACAGTATCCTGTATCGATTTTCTTCTGTGATTTCTTTTTTGTACTTTTTATGCGCCAGAGACATGAGCGATAAATTTTTCTGTAACCATTCAGAAGTATATGTTGTGTAAAAGTGTTGTGGTGGATCGAATACAGATTATAGAGAGCAGCTTCACTGATTGCCGATTAATTGGTGTAGTGTAGCTGGGTATGTGACAAGAGAATCGTAATTCACCGCGCTGGTGGGCGTCGCGTGCGACGTCGCGCCCGCAAATGACGATGGTTCCAGGTAGTAGATGGCGACAACAGGCAATTCAGAACCGAAAATAGTCATGAATGTCTACGATGACGGGGTCTACATGAAGTCCGGTGCTCCAATCGACAGGTTAACACGAGTTAAGAAAACGCCGCGCCCATCGCCGCAGGCGCGGAGCGGCAATTTACGATTCTCTTGCCCGTCTCCACCGTAGCTGAAAGACTCCTCGAGTCCATCTGCGATTGCGCCTCACCCGCGCGTCATCAAGCCGCCTTACAGTCGCTCCTACTCCTCTTCCTTCCGTCGTTGTCCCGCTCGCCTTCGCTAAAAACTGAAACTTCCCGCGCGGTCATCGAACGACCAGGCTGCAGTATTCCAAGATTTGGCCCAGTTTCCGTGGACTAACATCTCTTTTTCATCCAGAGAGAGTTCACACGGGAAAAGATCACCGAATACCGAGATGGAAAGGTTCTTAAGTCCGACGGCAAGACTGACCCAGTGTTGCTACGGGGATACCGCATTGTTCGCATCGGCCCTTGTAATAACGGTGTTTCAGTAGGGTACTACTAGAGGAGAGGGCTGATGAGCAAGGACCATCTGGACAGTCGGTAACGAGTAAAGGCGAGTTAATGCGTCAAGGGTCATCCAAGAACCCTGGGGCCGCTGGGCCGAATCCGTATTCATTGTAAGGAGAGCGACATCTTTTTCGCTGCTCTGAACGGTGTCCACGGCTCGTTGGTATTCGCAAAATTGGCTAGACGGTCATGACGTGCATGGTCGGCCCTCACTGGAATTTGACAAGGATGCGTATAGGACGTTGACAAGGATGCGTTTTTTTCTTTCGCTTTTTTCTCACTCAAAATATCGCGCTGAAGAAAAAAAGTTTTTCCATCAGGTTTTATACCGTTTGGCAGAGAATTCCTTACCCTACACGACAGTT